CATCAGCCGTCGTCAGTCAACAATATTAAGATATTACCTGCTATTGTTTTTTGGTGATTGATCCGCAGTGGAATCTGAAACATAAAGCTACTAATGTTCTTTTGCAAGAGGTCGCATCTGCCTCTACTCAAATACTCAAACTCTCTGCCGAAATATTTTTTGTTGCGTTGGCACTGGGTGTAAGATTGTCCTAACAGTCTACTAGTATGAGACTCATTAGAGATGTGCCAAGAATATTAAATGGCTGTCTAAACGTGTAAGCCGTTTTTTGCCGGCCATGGCTCCAAACGAAATCAGGGGACGGAGTACAATTCCACGCTTAACTTACTTGACTGATAAAAAATCTGGCGCTTGATCTTGTATCAATCCATTTGATGCTAAAAAGCACAGAAAGCATCACATTATTCGGAGACGGAGGATTACTAAATCCTTGATCTTTATACCTTGATCCTCGAACCTTCATTAGACTTTTAACTTCCAGTTGACCTTAAACTCACCAATGAAAGCTAGCGTTCTTGGGTTGCCCGGCTTCCATTTCGCAAAAACGGTGAAATGATCGAAGACTTTGGGGCTTACATACTTTTTGGACTTGCAATTGTGCCGATTACGGCTTACTTCAACCAAATCCTATTTTTTACTTTTGCGTTTTATGTGAGGTACGTTTCCCTCTAGGATATAGTGGTCGTAAGTTTTCAAATTTTACCCATGGGAAAAATTCCCGTGCAAGGGCGTGCACGCCATATGGCATATATTTACTAAAAATGACGTCTATTCGCTTTTTGCGTAGTCTGTTTGATACATGCTCATTGTTCGCGTGATACGCCTGGTGGTATCTGCTACACTTCCCACTTTAAAGCTTGTTGTATTGTTAACTATACAGATAGCTTTAGAGTGGGCGTACTTTTGGCAGATGCATTTGAAACTTTCTTGCACGTCAATTTAACGGCCACCAGGACGTACAAGTAGAAGTGCCCTCTTCTATCACACTTTCCAGTTCTGATGCCTGGGAAGTATAGTGTGTTTGTGACTGAGGGTTTACTGACCGCAGACAGATTTGGAAATTAGCCGCGTTGACGACTAAACAAGTGATTCCCTATTCTTCAAATGTCGGTTTATTCTTTGCAGAGGTATTGACTGTTCAGAACCCCGCGCTCTGCTTCTCTATGTCCGACCACGTAGACCTATACAGAAAGCGAACTACATTGTCCTGGAAATTGAAGGAATTGAGCCTCTCAGGATCTACAGTACTAAATATAGTTACTGCAGTCATATTTAATTCTTATCAAGCATGTGGAGTGTTTCCGTATGTGAATGTCGGATTTTACATCAGGGCCTCTCCTTTGATTGGATTCATTCCCCGAGACCAGTCTTACATTGATAATCTCTTCGCCGTCACGTTATGTATGGTTTACTTTTAGTTCAGAGATTTGATCATTTGTGGAATTGCGACTCACATTTGCCATACATCAGACACAACTCTCACTTTTATGGGTAGTTTTCCGTTTTACTGGCTTTTCTTTTAAGTAACGAGACCATCTGCAAATGCATTTCCCTATGTTCGTTGACCTTAAGTTGATTTGAAGCCCGTCGCATTGGAATTTGAAAGTCAGTAATTATGTTGTGTTGCGCACTTCTATAACCAGCCAGCTATGACTACTTCGTCCATATCAAAAGCCTTTCATCTGCTCTCTGTTTACTGACCGCAAAAGGATCAATTTATGTATTTGCATTTCACAGTACATCTAGTACTCTACCTCAGAGCGATCACGAGTTCATTTTACATAGTGCATGTGGAACATTGGCAGCCATGTTCCCTTCTTTACCTTTACTTCTTGTTCATTCTGCCCTGTCAGATCCAATTTCTTCCAAACTTTGCAAAATTTGGAAGATTTAAGAAAAGTATCAACAAACGTCAGACCCATGTTTACCGAATCATAGTAAAAACCTATAATGTCAAAA